CAGGCGATAGAGTTATGGACACAAACGCAATAAGACAAATGAGAAGATGACAAAACATACGAGAGAAGTAGGCCTACAGTTGAACCTTCTCTAACGACCACCTGTGTACCGCAATCACTAAAAAAACTTGTACATACGGCCAAACCCCCCACCTTTCCTTTTTAACACATAATGACACTGTGTAAGACGTGCATGTGTCTGAGACCATCACCTGAACAAAGAGTCACTTCCCGTCTCCCCCTCCCCCCTCCTCTCTTCCCCGTCCCCCTCCTCCTGCCCCTCCCCCTCCCCCCCTTTCACATTATTTTTACATTTTGATGAAACAGTGTAAAACGTCCACCTGTCTAAGACGGACAGTTTCCTCCTCGACAATACAATGAGTGTCCGTTTAAGATGACGAAGTACAGAACTTATAGACTTGCTTAGACTTGCGACAGTCACCTGGACATTAGACATAGGAGTGAGTCACTGAAACAAACTGGAAGAGACAGACACGATGCCAGACTTTAGGAGACAGACTACAGACTCCGACAAACGCAGGTTGTTTTGGTGGTTTTTTTAAGGATGGGGGGGTTGTTTTGTTTTGTTTTGTTTTGTTTTGATTTTGATTTTGGAGGGAGGTGGGGGATACTGTACCTCCTCCGGTATACAGCAGCAGCAGCTGCAGATTCCTGAGCGAGTATTTAGCGCGGTCGGGTGAACGCGCTCGGGGCTGATAGCCTCGGTGTTTATGTGGCTTTCACGAGGCGATGATGATAACACGCAATAGCTTTCCGCAGCGCTGATGGAGAAAGATTTTAGTTTAAAGGTAGATTGAGTTCCTGGGATCGCTTTGTGGGCTCGGCGAGTTTTTTGTTGGTGTTGTCGTGTTGTTTATGTGTCGTCAGGTGAGACAGGTAGGGAAGACAGGTAGGAAGGGGTGGAGAAGGTGAGGGGGAGGGGGGTGAGTCACCGCGTAAGGGGAGGTAATCGTTGTGTTGGTGGCGCAGTGTGCTCTTACGTCTTTTTCAGAAAGACTGTTGATTTAGTGAGGTTTGGCGTCGTAAGGGGTTCTTCGTCTCTATATTATATATTT